TCATGAAAATTTTGAGGTAATGAAATTAAAAAAATATTAACTAAATATTATTTTGTAAAAATTACATGGTGTTTCTAAAAGGTGTATGAAACTTATATTCTAAGGCCTGAAGTGTTTGGACTTTGGAATTTAAGTTTCAGAATTTTAAATTAAAAGTTTTTATGAATGTGGGAGTTTTTTAGAGAGTAACATGGATGCCAGGACGAAGGAATTTGGGATTCAGACATGGGAATTTTAGAGTTTGGAAAATTAAATTTTGGATAATCGTATTTTATGGAGAGGCAGTGATCACTTGCTCTCCCATAAAATACTATTATCTAAACAAAATTAATCAGTTTAATATTTTTACATTTTATTTTTATAAATTTACTGTAAAAATATTAAACTGGTTAATTTTGTTTTACATTTTTAACAATGCTAGTAAAATTCAACATACATTTTTTAAATACCCGTAAATAATTATTTTTTCAATTTTTAAATCAATATATTTGTTGTTATGAGGAATAATATAGACAAAATATTAAATTAATTTTTTATTCAAGGTTTTTCAAATGGGCAAATTTCTGTATAGTAAAATAGGAAAATTAGCAGTGGAAAAACGTTACATTCATTTGCTTTGTTTTCTTACAAGACGATATCACCATATTTCACGTGATATAAAAGAAAATAAATTATTCATTAAAAATGGATTTTATAATCAAAATATTCATTATGAAGAATAGCAGCATAAAGAAAAAATTAAAATTAACTTTCTGTGACAAAATTCTTAATAATGACATTTTTTGTGAATTTCGCTGTTTAAGATAATAAGAAAAAAATAAAACAGAGAAAGACGATATTGACAAAGCAACGCCGTCTCTTTTACATTTTTGTGGTATATTTTTGAGAATAATTGTAAAATATTAATATATTTATTGAATTTAAGTTTTGACATTAACAATGTGATAAATTCTTTAATAAATGTCATTTTGCAGTGAAAAACATGACATTTTAAATATTTTCTATTTATTTACGGAGGACAGAAAAATTCAACATACTTTTTTAAAAAAATATGTTATGTTAAAGAAAAACAAATTATTCATAAAAAATTAATTTTATACTTAATATAGTTATTGCTGATGAAAAACTGAGAAAATATTTAATTTAAATTAAATTTATGTGATAAATACTTAATGACACTTGTGAATTTCGCATCGAAAATGTTTGTTTGAAGATAAAATATGCAAAGTTGAAATAAAATAAACATTATACTTACTTCAGTATGTTAAATAATAGACTTAAGTTAATCCAAAGTTAAAACGTAAAAATCACTTTAAAAAAATTAATTTCTTAATCCAATTGCAGCAAAGAACTTTCGTGTGTTAATCATTTGACCCCCCACCCCCGTCGCCTTACTCGATATAGAGACCTGAGTTATGGACCTCCTTGGTTAAAGATTATTACTGAAAAAGTCTAGCAATCTTTAGATTGGTAGACTCTTTGGTGAAGCTCTGGCAGTTTCTCTGGGTCAACTCCTGATGATTTTGCTGAAAGAGTCTACCAATCTTTAGATAAGAATGGTGAAGCTCTGGCTGTTGCTTTTGGATATCTAGAAGACGTTTGACAGGGTTTGTCATGCTAGTTTTCTTCACAAGTTGAAAGGTTAGGGTATTTCTGGACTAATTTTTGATCTGATTCAATTTTTCTTATCAAATGATAAAATAAAATTTGCCTTGAACAGCCACTCTTTTAGATCATTAATTCGGGTGGCCCAATACTCTATCCTTGGATCTACGCTGTTCTTAATTTTCATCAATGACCTTCTCTATGTCATCATTTATCAACAGTATCTATATTGATGACACAGCTATTTACTCTTGTCTCAATGGTAAGTTTGATAGGTTTGATAAGGTCAAATTGACAGCTGATCTAAAAAATGACCATCAATATGTTGTTAACTGTGGCAGAAAATGCGTTGCTAATTTGAATACATCCAAAACGAAACTGTTCTCTTTTAATCATCTTAGAAAACCATTTTGCCTTTCATCAGCGTAGCTGACGCTAATCTCCAGTAGTGGCTAACGTTTTCCGCTGACATGAAGTGGAATAATTATATTGAGTGAAATAGGAAAATTGGTTCACTGTCGTGCTAGAATCTGTCTTACACATTTATAAGTCGAGAATGCATCCAGGGTGTCACATGGCTGTCACATGGTTTGGTGCTTCTACTATGTATTTAGAGATGCTTGTTTAAAACCCAAAGAATAATTTACAATCTCGAACCTGACTGGAATCTCGGCGTCAGTCATTTTCCCACTACCGTAACGTACATTATCTATAAATATTTCATGGTAATTGTTATGATGAGCTCTTCTATTTTATACCTCGACTTTCTTAATTTAAACCCAGTACTAGATTGGTAATTAGGTCTCATCATTTTACAGTTGATCTAGATCTAACTGTAACTTCTGTACTAACAGTTTCTTCTCTCGCAATTCTCTCTCGTGGAACTCTCTCCCAGCTTTCAAAATTTTTTAATGAAATTACAGTCGTTATACCCTTTTTTTTTAATTCCTGTTCTTTTATTGCCCTAAGAATGTCTTTATTTTTCTCAGTTCTTTCACACTTTGTAAACCCTTGAGTTTTGTTGGCTTTATTACTTTGCTTGTTGTGAAATAACAAAAATCTCTTCAGTTAATAAATATTAAAATTTGCAATAAAATAGAAATAGAAATTAAAATGTAATATTAACAATATTTTTCCAATCAAAATTCGATATTCACTAAAATCTTATATAAATTTTATTGCTTGGTAACCCTATTATATTAAAAAATGAGAAATGTTTTGTCTGAGACACCATAGTAATCTAACGATCATTTAATAATTTGATTTCTTAATATATCTTATGTTATAGGAGGAGATATCAGTAAATTCTTTTAGTTTGGGTCTCAAGCAAAAGTTATATTGTATCTTTAACACATTTACAATTACTGTTGTTATTTGGATGGGACAAAATAAATGGCTGTTTTTTCCCATTGTCCCTTTCTGTTTATATCTACATATCATTTTAAAGCTCATTATATTCTCTTTCGGTGATTTTAATTAGTTTTATTTTAATTTTATTGGGGTTAAAATCAAAATCTTTTTTCCATGTGGTCAAACTTAGCCATTGCGATACCAAAGCCAACTGCAACATCAGCAGTATTTATGAATTGGAGTCTTCTTTAGAATGTACATAATTTGTTGTTTCAAGTCATTCGCTTCTGATTATCTGAATTGCTAAGATGAGTTTGGTCATTGCTACAAGTCGTCATTCAACAATGATGTATTGCGACCAGCCGTGTGGCGTATCTAGAAGTAAACACTCGTTCGTTGGGAGCAAAGTTTGGTGCACCTGTACACTAATCCGTAGACTGCTGACACAAATACGCAAGGCATCTGCACCAGTGGGTACCTCCTGATTTCTTGCGTAGTTTGATAATTATTGCTAGTTTGTTTAAAATATAACTTTTTATTCATCGTGTATTTACTGTAAATGAAAAAACGGTTTTTGTGTGATAATCGGAAATGTGGCTTTCTTAGGGGATAAACGTATTCTCTCTTGTTAACCTTCACACAAACAAATCTTATCTACAAATATTCTCCTGCCCATATCGTTGTGTTATAATAGAGATTCTTACAAACTGCTCAGAGTAATTGTAATTTTATAATTTTCATAATTTTAATTTTTATATAATTTTTATTTGTTTAAATAAATATATAATAAGCAAACTCTTTTGTGACACGATAACTAGGCGTATATTAAGGTGCATTTGTAAAATATGTATTTTATTTTAATAAATTAAGAATAGAAAATGGTTAAGAATAGAAAAATAGCTTAAAAACATGTGTTTCGTTTAACAAAAGTACTAAGGGAAAAAGAATAGGAAAAAATAAATAAATAAACGCTTTTTCTTTTATAAGTAAATTTGCGGAAGAGAAAAGGGCATCAGATTACTGTTAAATCCTACCAGTCTTCCAATAAAATATTTGACTAAGTGATTTGATGTGATAAAAGATAAACTTTTAGGAAATAGATTTTAGATGACCAGGTCAAAAACTGTCTTTACTGTATCTCGACAACACATTAAGGAAATCAAGAAAAGATAACAGAATTTTCCCTTTCTCCAGGCAATAAAAAAAGGAAAGAAAAAAAAAACCCTGGCTACTGAGAAAGTGCCGGGGCTATAAAAACATCCGACGGCCTTCACACGAAGATTCGTTAAGATAAAAAGATTAAAAAAATCCTGGAAAATACATCGTTGGAGGCCGAGTGTAGACGGGATGTCCGCAGGATTTTTACACATCAAAGGAAGCAAAATTTAAGTACCTTGAAATTTTGAACTTACAGTCGCCAATGCTTATCTTTTTGTTTTCACCCGGTGGTCTAGTGGACTTCCGATTATTTCAATATAAATACGAGTGATTTTTCCGAGCCGAGCAGTTCAGCCGGGCGTGTGCTTGAAGTAGCCACGTGTCAGGCACACTGAAGAAGTGAAACTCCGTTCGTCTGAGTTGGTCGGTCCGGGATTTGATCTCCATTAGTTAGAGTTAGAGCTGAGTGTCACATCGCCTACCCCAACGGCAAGACTAAGTCTGAACGAAATAAAGCGTTGATTAAACTCATCTAAGTTGTGGAAGTTCGTTCCTTCAATGGTTTATCTTGTGCCCCCAGCTTGAGACTACGACTTTTTCAACCAACCCCCGGCAACATCACAGCGTGGAGAACGGCCGCCGGAGAAATTGCACGGAGCTCAACCAGGGGTGTTACACTTTAAGTAAATGAAAATTTCTAGTTATACAGAATTTTCGCCAGGTCTCATTGATCAGAATTACAATAGTTAAGTATTATAGACACACACATTATATTTAACATAAAAATTCATGTGTTTAATATTCAAGTATTACATTTTTTATTTTATTTTTTTTACCAGAAAACAAATATATTAAGGATAAGGAACGAGATCAACTTTAGCTTAATCATGTCTTTCTTTACTTTACAATCTATCTATCTATCTATCTATCTATCTATCGCAATCGTTTATGTTGTTTTTTCTAACCAATCTTTTTTCCTTTGCTTGCTAATCAATACGACTGGACCACCAACATCTCGAACTTATAAAGACGCCATCTGTAACTTGTGTAGAACAAATCTCCATACTTTCATAATGTTGAATAGAATTTACTTTGCTCAGGAAGTATTAGGCATAAAACATGGAAATGCAGAGCAATATAAAGTTTTTGATATAATTATAATAAATTCAATGCAACATTGTCATTATTTGATAGTATTAGTAAAATATTACTGACTGGATTATTTATGTATGGATAAATTATAAAAATATTCAAATATATAAGATGCAATATGTAGGTTTTTATTTCTAACAATTTTTAAAGAACAAATCTATATTACCTTGAAACTATGTAGAGCATCGGTAAATATATTTGATCCGGATATAGCGTGCATATCCTAAACTGATCCTATGTCTAGGGTGGGGAGCGAAATTTGATCATAGCCGAAATGTGGATCGATAAGCAAATAATCCAGTCTGTTTAGATGGACGCTGATCTGTGTATATTTTCAAATTCTTTAACTTTGCATATGCAATGATATATTTTTCGAATATACAATTATTCATATTCGAAAATGATGTATTTTAGATTATGTTAATTCTGTAAATTTAAATTATTTCATATTTAGGGTTTGTTCATAAGCAAATAAATCAGCTTCACTTCAATAATCTGAGTTTAAAACGGTATGGAAAAGCCCTTCTTTCTGTACTGTGGATTTAATTTAGAATATTGGCATCATGTTTTCGTAAAAGTTTATTTGAAAATTTTCTTCACTGGTCTTTTAGATAGTATGCCATCTTTAGAGATGCCCAATTGCTTGTTTCCTATATTCTTGTAGAAGAATGGTTTCTTCTTTATAATTTAACATAACTCAACGCCACACTTTTATTATTGTCTCATACTATTATATTCTGCAATTCCATTTGTAAGTTTGCCAGTTTTCTATCTTGATATACTGTTTTCATTCATGATTTAGGTTTGGCAGTAAATTCTCAAAAGAGAATCTAGCTTTTCCAGTGTAATCAATATTCGGATCTGAAATGATAGAGGAAAATGTTCATTTAAAAATATATATATGCATATATGTATTATTACTATAAACGTTATTTTACTGGGTACACGTATTTGAGTTGTTATCGTTGTTTTTCTTTCTTAAACAGTGAAAATGATAACAACTGGCCTAGATTGAGAAGTCCTATAAAAGAAAGATTGTGCCTCAAACAGGAAGCGAAATTGTATCTTCTTTTTCCATCAGGGAAAACCGCTTCTATAGCCGAACGTACCATTACCATGGTAATTCAAACCTTGCTCCATCAACGCGGACTTCATGGACAAATTAGTAAAGGCACATTTCTGCTATAGTGTACTCACTAACATTAACGTTTATAGTAATAAGAAATAATGTAGGTTAAAAAATCCATTTAAAAATACTTTTGTTTACGTTTCGGGTGCGAAATGGACGTTAACAGATTTAGGTTCATAGAATTCCTAACGAAAAATGTACATTTCTACAATAGATAATTCAAAGCTTACTTTATCAACCGTGGCCAAATTGGTAAAGACAAGCTTTGGTTACAGAAGCGGTTTCCCTAATGGAAAAAAGGTGTTACAAGTTCGATTCCTGTCAGTATAAGCTATCTTTAGTAGGACTACCTAATCTAGGCCGGTTATTATTAATTTCACAGTTTAAAAAATACCAGGGATAGAAATTCAAATGCGTGTAGCCACTAATAATATCGTTTATAATAAGAAGAAATAATATCGAATAAAAAAGTTCATTAAAATAATTGTACATATATATGTATATATAGGCTAATACAGAGTGTTCAGAAACTTATTGTAGACTTTTCTAATCATATTTTTTATATTTCAAATATATTTTTAAATTTATATTTCAGATTTCACCCAATATGGTTTTAACAACTGAAGAACGTGCATTTCTCGTCGAACATGTGTATTTCGAGAAGGCGGTAGATACACAGATTTGTTACAACAGCATTTTTCTGGTAAATGTTCACATACATCTGTTTCATATCGCAATGCAGTTCGTAAACTTGTTGATAAATTTTGTGAAACAGGATTAGTGGACAATGCCAAACGCTGTGGGATACCAGCAAAGCTATCGGAGGAGAAACTGTTGAATATTTCTGACAGTATGTAGCTGAGTTCAAGAAAATCATTACGGAAGTTAGCCCAGCAGCAAGAACTGTTCATAAGTCTATCAAACAAAAATCAAAACTCTTTCCATGCAGCATAATGGCGGTTAGGTACTGAAAGCAACTGATCATGAAAAGCGACTGTAGTGATGCTAACAGACGTCATTTTCAACATGTCTACAATTTTCATTCATATCCTCCTTCTATATTGAAACATGTCCGTGAAGAAAAATATAAGTGTATAGTGGCTTTCTGAATACCCCTGAAATGAATTACATTTTGGTAAAGCAAGTCATTCTTCATTAATGAGAGAAAATGGATTCACTTTTAATATTAATTAATTTTTTGATTTTTCATCAATTGACAAGAGAAGTTTAATGAAAATTAAGTTCGTTTGAATAAAACATAAATACGAAACTGTTTATTTTTCATTTCATGTGAAACTTATTTTAAAGATATTTAGGAGAATTATTTATATTACAATAATTTTAAGAATTATGAAAGTCAAGCAACATCGACTTTGGTGCTTTACGAGCAAGCCAAACATAAATAAGTTTATATACACGCGCATGTGCACGCACACGCAACTACATACACATACACTCACACAGAATCAAGAAAATATAATACAAAATATCTTCATATCTTGCCAGCAACAACATTATTTTTCATGTAGAAAGAGAGGATTTTTTCTATGTGCTTAATTTTTCAAAATTGGTATTATCCTGTTATAGTTATCTAATCAATTCTTTTTTTTAAAGATGATGAAAATATCTAGACACAACCATTTCCCCAAATCTGGCCAAATGATCAAACATAAGGGTTTACGAAGTGGGAAAGGATGGGATAAAAATATCTAGACACAACCATTTCCCCAAATCTGGCCAAATGATCAAACATAAGGGTTTACGAAGTGGGAAAGGATGGGATAAAAATATCTAGACACAACCATTTCCCCAAATCTGGCCAAATGATCAAACATAAGGGTTTACGAAGTGGGAAAGGATGGGATAAAATATCTAGACACAACCATTTCCCCAAATCTGGCCAAATGATCAAACATAAGGGTTTACGAAGTGGGAAAGGATGGGATAAAAATATCTAGACACAACCATTTCCCCAAATCTGGCCAAATGATCAAACATAAGGGTTTACGAAGTGGGAAAGGATGGGATAAAAATAAAGCCATTGTTAAGGAGAGAGAACAATAAATTAACAAGAATTAAGAAGACAGAAGATAACGACTGTAATTTCATTAAAATTTTTGATGACCAAAATTGGCTGGAAAGCAAGAAGCTAGAAGAGAGTTTCACAAGCATAGAACTTACAGTTGAGCCTGGCAATTTAAATTGTAAAATGATGAGTCTTAATCAAGTACTGCGCTTAAATTCATAAAGTCGAGGTGCCAGAGAGGAAGATATATTACTATGAAATATTTATTAAAAAAATGCACAGGGAAACTACATTGCGTCAGTGGAAAGTAACTGAGATTCCAGGTCAGTACCGATAAAATTACAAATTATTCTTTATCAATCATCTCTAAATATGTAGCAGAAACACCAGACCAAATGTGACAACAATATTCAATGCATAGACGAATGGTGGAATTTTGTCGTTGATGAAAATCAAGAACAGCGTAGATAGAGTATTGGGAGCACCGTCATTAAGGATCTGAAAGAATGGACGTAAAAGGAAACTTTTATTTTTCTATTTGATAAGAAAAATTGAATCAGATCAAAAATTAGTCCAGAAATACACTAACCTTTCAACTTGTGAAGAAAACTAGCATGACAAACCCTGTCAAACGTCTTCTAGATATCCAAAAGCAACAGCCAGAGCTTCACCATTCTTATCTAAAGATTGGTAGACTCTTTCAGCAAAATCATCAGGAGTTGACCCAGAGAAACGAAAGTCATATTGCTTGTCTGAAAGAAGATTCTGCGAGGTTAGAAGCTTAACCAAATCAACAAACCAACAAACACAATGTGTACTAGACATACACGCACACACACATTTGAAGATTTATAGAGATGCTAGCAGAAACCATGGATGTTGTTATATCCGCATTCACAGTCGAAACTCAGTTCTGAATGGAAAGTCAGATTGCCCTAGATGAATCATGAGCAGAATTCGTAGTAAACTTTACGTGCAAAACCTTTTTCTTTATCAGCAGAAGAAGATAACACCTCAAATTGAAGAAAGAAAAGAGTGATACAGCACTTACTCTTATTTAACACACTATTACAGATCCGCTAGTAAACACGAGGACAAAACTTGTTATAGCCTATACAGTACCTTATTCTATCAGTGAAGAAAACCTAGCCTCTGAGGACACGTTTAAAATTCTTACGAGTAGACGTAAAGAAGTGCCTGTTGTGATCAGAACTATCACGCCGGTACAGTGGGAAATACGATTCTTTTGGGCTATAGTTGCTAAACAGGCGAAAGTGAACCAAGAAGTTTGTGGTTTCTGGTATTTCCGAGAAGTCACAAACACATCGATACTGGCTTTTACTCAGAAACTTCAATGGCACAATTCTCAGTAGGAAGGTTAAATTGACAAGTAAAGATATTCAGTTGATAAATAAACATTTATTATGCAGAATAATTACTTTTTTCATCATTATACTACGTAGTTTTCTTATATATTTTCATATAAAAATATATCAAACATTTATAAATTCCTAGAACAAGGATCCATTTTGTTATGGCTTGTGTAAGATTAAAGCATATGCAAACAATCAAGCCTAAACTGTTCTCACGAGTTCATTTTGTATTTTGCTCAAAACGTGCCACTAATAGTGTAACCTTTTTTAACTGACCAACCCTCTCAACAGGAAAGGCAAGAAGACGATTCAAATTTAATGCAATGTTCGAATCAGAAAAACAATAATTGTCATAAGA